TAAGTTTCCCGCTCAAAGGTGATTGTTTAAATATGTTTCTGCTTCAATAACAACAGAACTGAGCCTCCTCAGTCCTCATTCTACAGTCTGAGTCCAGGGGAGCGGACTTCTCTCTCAATGTGGAGCTCCCCGAGGGTGTTTTATATTAGTATAGTTTGACTATGCAGGAGGGTCTTAGAGGGTCTGAGAGGGTCTGAGAGGGTCTGAGAGGGTCTGAGAGGGTCTGAGAGAGTCTGAGAGGGTCTGAGAGGGTCTGAGAGGGTCTGAGAGGGTCTGAGAGGGTCTGAGAGGGTCTGAGAGGGTCTGAGAGGGTCTGAGAGGGTCTGAGAGGGTCTGAGAGGGTCTGAGAGGGTCTGAGAGGGTCTGAGAGAGTCTGTGAGGGTCTGAGAGGGTCTGAGAGGGTCTGAGAGGGTCTAAGAGGGTCTGTGAGGGTCTGAGAGGGTCTGAGAGGGTCTGAGAGAGTCTGAGAGGGTCTGAGAGAGTCTGAGAGGGTCTGAGAGGGTCTGAGAGGGTCTGAGAGGGTCTGAGAGAGTCTGAGAGGGTCTGAGAGAGTCTGAGAGGGTCTGAGAGAGGTCTGAGAGGGTCTGAGAGAGTCTGAGAGGGTCTGAGAGGGTCTAAGAGGGTCTGAGAGGGTCTAAGAGGTCTGAGAGGGTCTGAGAGGTCTGAGAGGGTCTAAGAGGGTCTGAGAGGGTCTGAGAGGGTCTGAGAGGGTCTGAGAGGGTCTGTGAGGGTCTGAGAGGGTCTGAGAGGGTCTGTGAGGGTCTGAGAGGGTCTGAGAGGGTCTGAGAGAGTCTGAGAGGGTCTGAGAGGGTCTGAGAGAGTCTGAGAGGGTCTGAGAGAGTCTGAGAGGGTCTGAGAGAGTCTGAGAGGGTCTGAGAGAGTCTGAGAGGGTCTGAGAGGGTCTAAGAGGGTCTGAGAGGGTCTGAGAGGGTCTGAGAGAGTCTGAGAGGGTCTGAGAGAGTCTGAGAGGGTCTGAGAGAGTCTGAGAGGGTCTGAGAGGGTCTGAGAGAGTCTGAGAGGGTCTGTGAGGGTCTGAGAGGGTCTGTGAGGGTCTGAGAGGGTCTAAGAGGGTCTGAGAGGGTCTGAGAGGGTCTGAGAGAGTCTGAGAGGGTCTGAGAGGGTCTGTGAGGGTCTGAGAGGGTCTAAGAGGGTCTGAGAGAGTCTGAGAGGGTCTGAGAGGGTCTGTGAGGGTCTGAGAGGGTCTAAGAGGGTCTGTGAGGGTCTGAGAGGGTCTGAGAGGGTCTGAGAGAGTCTGAGAGGGTCTGAGAGAGTCTGAGAGGGTCTGAGAGGGTCTGTGAGGGTCTGAGAGGGTCTAAGAGGTCTGAGAGAGGTCTGAGAGAGGTCTGAGAGAGGTCTAAGAGGGTCTGAGAGAGGTCTGAGAGAGGTCTAAGAGGTCTAAGAGGGTCTGAGAGAGTCTGAGAGGGTCTGAGAGGGTCTAGAGAGGTCTGAGAGGGTCTGAGAGGGTCTGAGAGAGTCTGAGAGGGTCTGAGAGAGTCTGAGAGGGTCTGAGAGAGTCTGAGAGGGTCTGAGAGGGTCTGAGAGAGTCTGAGAGGGTCTGTGAGGGTCTGAGAGGGTCTGTGAGGGTCTGAGAGGGTCTAAGAGGGTCTGAGAGGGTCTGAGAGGGTCTGAGAGAGTCTGAGAGGGTCTGAGAGAGTCTGAGAGGGTCTGAGAGGGTCTGTGAGGGTCTGAGAGGGTCTAAGAGGGTCTGAGAGAGTCTGAGAGGGTCTGAGAGGGTCTGTGAGGGTCTGAGAGGGTCTAAGAGGGTCTGTGAGGGTCTGAGAGGGTCTGAGAGGGTCTGAGAGAGTCTGAGAGGGTCTGAGAGAGTCTGAGAGGGTCTGAGAGGGTCTGTGAGGGTCTGAGAGGGTCTAAGAGGGTCTGAGAGAGTCTGAGAGGGTCTGAGAGGGTCTGAGAGGGTCTGAGAGGGTCTGAGAGGGTCTAAGAGGGTCTGAGAGAGTCTGAGAGGGTCTGAGAGGGTCTGAGAGGGTCTGAGAGGGTCTGAGAGGGTCTGAGAGGGTCTGAGAGGGTCTGAGAGGGTCTGAGAGGGTCTGAGAGGGTCTGAGAGGGTCTGTGAGGGTCTGAGAGGGTCTGAGAGGGTCTGAGAGAGTCTGAGAGGGTCTGAGAGGGTCTGAGAGGGTCTGAGAGAGTCTGAGAGGGTCTGAGAGGGTCTGAGAGAGTCTGAGAGGGTCTGAGAGGGTCTGAGAGGGTCTGAGAGGGTCTGAGAGGGTCTGAGAGAGTCTGAGAGGGTCTGAGAGGGTCTGAGAGGGTCTAAGAGGGTCTGTGAGGGTCTGAGAGGGTCTGAGAGGGTCTGTGAGGGTCTGAGAGGGTCTGAGAGGGTCTGAGAGAGTCTGTGAGGGTCTGAGAGGGTCTGAGAGGGTCTGAGAGGGTCTGAGAGGGTCTAAGAAGGTCTGAGAGGGTCTGAGAGGGTCTGAGAGGGTCTGTGAGGGTCTGAGAGGGTCTAAGAAGGTCTGAGAGGGTCTGAGAGGGTCTGTGAGGGTCTGAGAGGGTCTGAGAGGGTCTGAGAGGGTCTGAGAGGGTCTGAGAGGGTCTAAGAGGGTCTGAGAGAGTCTGAGAGGGTCTAAGGGGCGGCACGGTGGCTGAGTGGTTAGCACTCTCCCCTCTCAGCAAGAAGGTCCTGGGTTTGAATCCCAGTCGGAACAGGGCCTTTCAGAGTGGAGTTTGCATGTTCTCCCTGTGTCTGCGTAGGTTTCCTCCGGGTACTCCGGTTTCCTCTATCACTAAAAACAGGTGCAATAGTTCAGGGTGAATGAGTGTGTGTTTGTGAGTGTGACTGTGACGACGGATGAAAAATGCCAAAGCTACGATCCAGACTGAACTGTCCAACCACAACAACTACACACACATGTTTCCACGTTCAGGTGTGTCTGTGTGTCTGTGTGTCTGTGTGTGTGCGTGTCTGTGTGTCTGCGTCTGTGTGTGTCTGTGTGTCTGTGTGTGTGTGTGTGTGTGTGTGTGTGTCTGTGTGTCTGCGTCTGTGTGTGTCTGTGTGTCTGTGTGTGTGTGTGTGTGTGCGTGTCTGTGTGTGTGCTGTGTGTCTGTGTGTCTGCGTGTCTGTGTGTGTCTGCGTGTCTGTGTCTGCGTCTGTGTGTGTCTGCGTGTGTCTGTGTGTCTGCGTGTATGTCTGTGTGTGTCTGTGTGTCTGTGTCTGTGTGTCTGCGTGTCTGCGTGTCTGTGTGTCTGCGTGTCTGTGTGTCTGCGTGTCTGTGTGTCTGCGTGTCTGCGTGTGTCTGTGTGTTTGCGTGTATGTGTGTCTGTGTGTCTGCGTGTTTGTGTGTCTGCGTGTTTGTGTGTCTGCGTGTCTGTGTGTCTGTGTGTCTGCGTGTCTGTGTGTCTGCGTGTTTGTGTGTCTGTGTCTCTGCGTGTCTGCGTGTGTCTGTGTGTCTGCGTGTATGTGTGTCTGCGTGTCTGCGTGTGTCTGTGTGTCTGCGTGTGTGCGTGTGTCTGTGTGTCTGCGTGTATGTGTGTCTGCGTGTCTGCGTGTGTCTGTGTGTCTGCGTGTTTGTGTGTCTGCGTGTATGTGTGTCTGCTTGTGTCTGTGTGTCTGCGTGTATGTGTGTCTGCGTGTGTCTGTGTGTCTGCGTGTTTGTGTGTCTGCGTGTCTGCGTGTGTCTGTGTGTTTGCGTGTCTGCGTGTGTCTGTGTGTCTGCGTGTATGTGTGTCTGCGTGTGTCTGCGTGTGTCTGCGTGTCTGCGTGTCTGCGTGTGTCTGTGTGTCTGTGTGTCTGCGTGTATGTGTGTCTGCGTGTCTGCGTCTGTGTGTGTCTGCGTGTGTCTGCGTGTATGTGTGTCTGCGTGTATGTGTGTCTGCGTGTCTGCGTGTGTCTGCGTGTGTCTGTGTGTCTGCGTGTATGTGTGTCTGCGTGTCTGCGTGTGTCTGTGTGTCTGCGTGTTTGTGTGTCTGCGTGTATGTGTGTCTGCTTGTGTCTGTGTGTCTGCGTGTTTGTGTGTCTGCGTGTGTCTGTGTGTTTGCGTGTCTGCGTGTGTCTGTGTGTCTGCGTGTATGTGTGTCTGCGTGTGTCTGTGTGTATGTGTGTCTGTGTGTCTGCGTGTGTCTGTGTGTCTGTCTGTGTCTGCGTCTGTGTGTGTCTGCGTGTGTCTGCGTGTGTCTGTGTCTGCGTGTATGTGTGTCTGCGTGTCTGCGTGTCTGCGTGTGTCTGTGTGTCTGCGTGTGTGCGTGTGTCTGTGTGTCTGCGTGTATGTGTGTCTGCGTGTCTGCGTGTATGTGTGTCTGTGTGTCTGCGTGTGTCTGTGTGTCTGCGTGTATGTGTGTCTGCGTGTGTCTGTGTGTCTGCGTGTTTGTGTGTCTGCGTGTATGTGTGTCTGCTTGTGTCTGTGTGTCTGCGTGTTTGTGTGTCTGCGTGTGTCTGTGTGTTTGCGTGTCTGCGTGTGTCTGTGTGTCTGCGTGTATGTGTGTCTGCGTGTGTCTGCGTGTGTCTGTGTGTCTGCGTGTGTCTGTGTGTCTGCGTGTATGTGTGTCTGTGTGTCTGCGTGTGTCTGTGTGTCTGTGTCTGCGTCTGTGTGTGTCTGCGTGTGTCTGCGTGTCTGTGTCTCTGCGTGTCTGCGTGTGTCTGTGTGTCTGCGTGTATGTGTGTCTGCGTGTCTGCGTGTGTCTGTGTGTCTGTGTGTCTGCGTGTATGTGTGTCTGCGTGTCTGCGTGTGTCTGTGTGTCTGCGTGTTTGTGTGTCTGCGTGTATGTGTGTCTGCTTGTGTCTGTGTGTCTGCGTACGTGTGTCTGCGTGTGTCTGTGTGTCTGCGTGTTTGTGTGTCTGCGTGTCTGCGTGTGTCTGTGTGTTTGCGTGTCTGCGTGTGTCTGTGTGTCTGTGTGTGTGCGTGTGTGTGTCTGTGTGTCTGCGTGTCTGTGTGTCTGCGTGTCTGTGTGTCTGCGTCTGTGTGTGTCTGTGTGTCTGTGTCTGTGTGTGTCTGCGTGTCTGCGTGTATGTGTGTCTGCGTGTTTGTGTGTCTGTGTGTATGTGTGTCTGTGTG